TAGCTCTTGAGAAAAACTAGTCTGGGTTGTTTTGGATATATATCATGCTCCAGAATAAGGTAAAAACATGGGATATATATATATTTGCTGGTTTTTACTTTTGCGGTTTTGTTGGTAAAAATGTATGATATTGACATGCTGTGCTTGCCGGGTTGCCGTGTGTTTTTATTGGGATTCTGCTAGTTCATTACTTTATTGGTTTATTGCATAATAGTGTCATGTCTGTGGAAACAAACTTTATGGTTTTGTTGTGGTGATATTTGAGAATACGTGCATGTGAGAAAATTTGTGGAGCGGTTTCAAACAAACGTTGTTTATCTCGCGTTTATCTTAAAAATAAAAAGTGTCATCTGGGGAGACAGGAATGGTCCTCGGTGACCGCGATCCGGACTAAGAGTTGTTTTACTGTTTACAGACATTAAAGTTAGTAAAAAATGTATTGACATCTGTCTGTCCAGCAGCTGACAGAATGTACCACAAGCAAGCTGCTTCCCATCCAACATGTCCCTGACACTCTTCACACAGAACATGTCCAGTTTTATTCACATTCCAGACAGCTGCCCTGTACAGACTTTGCAGAACAGCCCTCACTCATATCAAGAAAGAGTGCCTGGCTCATCTTTGATGCTGAGCCAAAGCCACTCCGAAAATAGCAAATCTTTTTGAGTGCTTTCTTTCCAGACTCACGTGCCCTCACTGAGCGATGGCATTATCTGCACTATCTGGCCTTGCTAGATGTGTCAGGTCCAGGTCAAACTTCCCTGCTTGGAGCAGAGCAAATTCTGTTGTAGTACTTCTTTACTGCAGTTCCTTCCTGCAATGTGCTGTACTGAAATGGAGATTAATCATAGAGTCATGATATAACAAGCTACAGCAATACTGAGCAGTGCGGAAAGAGGCTCCATAATGAGTCATTTTGAATGTCGAGCTACCCAACCAACAGCAAAGGAGGACTAGCAGTGAGCAGTGCTGAAAGCTGTAGCTCATCACACAGCCCATGGTGAAACACTGACACACTCATGAGCCTTTCTTCTCTTACTCTCCCCAGCTGTTTGCGTAATGGCTGTCAGGAATCCTCAATGAATAGGTATACAGATCCTGTGCAGATGCCGGAGTAGGAAGATGTCAAGGCAGGTGAACAATCCAATATGGAAGGCGAGTTTGTGGTCCAAAGGAAAAAGGTGATTCAGAATCCATGAAGTACAATTGAAGTAAACCATCTGAAACAAGAGGCGAGGTCATGGTCAAAAGGCGTAATGTAGGTCGAAATCCGGGAAGTACACTGGTGGCAAACAATCTGAGATGAGAGGCGAGGTCCAAAGTCGAAAGGCAAAAGGGAAGTCCAGAATCCAAAATAATACGAGGTACAGAAAACGCCACGTAGAGCTCTCAACGAGTAGACTCAAGCAGAGGGAAGCGGGTTAGGATGGTTTAAATAGTGCTGCTTGCCGCACGGTAGAGCGTGTGCTGATGGATTAACACATGCGGCGGCGCTTGTTATTATTAACCAGCTGCTGGTACTGGTTAGCTCTCCGCTGGTTGGTGCTTGTGACAATGGCAGTGATGCTTTCATAATGGATCTCTGTAATTCTGCTTTGGTGGTGGGCAGCAGGTATATAGTTATCTATTTCTCTATTTTGTCTATGTCTAATATTTTGTCTAATATTTATTTATTTGTCAAATGGACCTAAAGCCTAACTGAGGAAACTGTGACACTGCAAAAAACATCAGTGTAATGGCTGCTGGACAAAACACTACAATGTCCACTGATGCCAGACAGCAGTCTTTTTCTCAAATTTGCAGTTTCACTTTTCACTGCTCACACGCCTGTGCTGCTCCTTGTAGCACAGCCAGACAACACACAACCAGCTTTCTCACTTCTCCAAACCTTTCATGATTGGGCATGTACATCACCGAAAGTTGCTTCCATGTACAGTATAAATGTGTAACCCAGCTGCATGTGCTTGAGACAACCTCACTATACACTATTCACTTGTAGAGACTAATTTGGGGCACCACTCATTTCTCCTTTATTCCCATCATTATTGTTGAGATGTCTTAAGAACTGACTGAATTTTGGATACGACAGCCTTGCTGGATGATAATTATGGGGGGGGGGAGAGATGACATATTACACTTGGTCTCCCTTGCCAAGAACACCATTAAATGTCATCAGATGGGTCATCAAATCCCCTGAAAGGCTTCCAGACCAATGGAACAGTGGCACGAAACCATTTTTCCTCCTCTGCATATAATCTAGTTAAACACTCTAGACATATTCAAAGGAAAATGGAGAAAGTTGCTTGAAGATTGAATTAACATCAATTCAGGAAAATTACAATTTTGTAGAATTTACATACCTGTACTATATTAACATGCCTTGGCGCATAACACTCCAGGTTCTGTCTATGTACTCCTCCAGGTGTTTAGAGCAGATCTTTCCAGATGACATTTTTTGCCCTAGGTAATATAGTGTTAAAATCCTTTGAAACACACAGCTTTTACACAGAGGGAGTAGTGTCACTTGATGCTTTGAATAGATTGAGATGGAGGAGATTTGAAATTGAGTCTGTACTGTACTTTACTGTAATAGTCAGAACAATGGGGATAAGTAATAAAGAATTCCGCTGCAAAAATGGAGATATGATTTTGCTGCAAATTTTGTATCAGAAAAATTCCAGCCCCCGTGCTATAAAAGCCAGACGTTCCTGCCAATCTGGGCTCAGCTTTGGAAGATGGACCCCCGGAAGCCCGCCTATCCGCAAGTCCAGGAGCGACTCGACGGCACAGGCTTCATCATGGCGTCCTGACCTTCTGAGTACGGGATTAGGGAGCATCTGGTCCCGTGACCCCCCTTTTATTTCCCCTACCCTCCGCCGGATCCCGCTCCGGCTTTTGCTACACCTATGGATTTGTCTCAGACTCCCTTGGACTGTTTGCCTCGGCCACACCTCCCCCGAACACCAGTGCATCATGAACACGCTCCCTGTTTTCCTGCCAGCCCTAGAGGCCTTTCTGAAAAAATATTAAGCCCAAGTGTTCTAATAACTTCATATCACTCTATCAAACTGAGCAAAGTGATAAGATTTACAGTTAAATAATGTAAACACAGAGCAATTGTCTTAATGCATTGTCTTGGCATCAGTTTCTAAAACGTCTATCAAGTTAATTGTGAAATAAATATACACTGCTAAATGCTGCTAGGAGATGATTGTTCCATGAATTCAAACATGAATAATAGTGGGAAGGGGATACATGCTCTTCAATTTAATAATTCTTAATAGCCATGGATTGGTTTCCTTGTCATGCAAATTACAAGACAGAGAGAATGAAACAGAACTTCAAACGTTTAATTTCATCCCATTCCACTCTTGCTTGTCTTGAATTTTTTACATACTTTATTTGACACTTACATGTACAGGAGTATGTCATTGCTCTTGGAGGAAGGATTATCAGACATTGTCAAGTGCCTCTTACTTCAGTATACTGTAAATATCCCTTACCTCAAATGTTGGAGGCTGATAAGTGACATCAAAGACCTCAAATGCCAGTAAAAGTCCAGGCCAGTAGTCTTCACTACAGAACAGCACTATGCCCATACAAGCAGAGAAGAGGCAGACTTACAGAAGACATGTTACTGTTCTTAATTTATATGATTCAGTGTTTCTCTTGTGATGTTTTAATTCTGCTGTCCTGGATCATAGACCAACATAAATCAGAAGAACCATGTAACTGTGATTCCCGGGAAGGGTTCTAAACAAGACGAGGCACTTTGGGGCATCAAGCTTATTAAGCTACTAATATAGTAGCTAACTGATCCAAGGATTTCACCTAGAAACTTCCTGAAAGAAGCCAGAGTATCAACTTTGACAACATGGCTGGGTGTTTTTTTCAAAACACCAACAACTATGTTAAAACCTACCTCTTGTTTTTGGTTTTAAATGCACCTCTCTGTTATTTCACTTGTATCTCTTCCTACAACCAATATTTGTATCCCTTCCTCTTTCCAATGTGTCTGATGGACAGTGTTGACGTTAGCCCTGTGAGCATCTCTTTGGGAGTCTTCCTTCTGTTTTATATGACAGGGAACTCAAAGCATTCGTTTTGCATTATTAGCTCTTCTTTTCCAGCATTTTAGACAAAGGCAGAAATTATCAAAGTCCTATGTGCTATAATAAAAGGCTGGGTTTTCCCATTTTAGAGGAAGGTGTTACATTTTTATTTTAGAAATTAGAAATCCCTGCTATTTTATAAATAGGTAAGAGCTGAAGCTCTGCCTCTTCGTTGTGTTTGCTAATTAATGGTTCAGTGGAACTGGTTGAGGTCACAGAGAAAGCAGATCCAAGCACATTCACTCCCACTCACAAAGAAAGGGAAAACAGCCTCCCTCCCTCCTTTGTGAGGCTGCCAGTCTGGACTGAATGTGTTTTAGTGCTTTTATAGAATAATGGTGTAGCTTGCAACATTTAGCTCTGCAAAAATCAAAAATTTCTGACAAGCACTATTCCACAAGTTGAATGTTTAAAATACTGGCCCCACATCACTGTGATTTTGTGACAATAACAAATTTAATTTAATTTTAAAAGTAAGTTAAAGCATACTTAATTATTACAACTAAAAATATGACATACAGTATCGAGCACGCCACAGTGAAAGATCAGCGCAAGCGGAGCTTGAGCTATCTGCCTATGTAGTGAGGATGATGCTTGTCTTATTAATACAAAGTAACTGGATTTTCATTTTAATAAGGATGAGAAATAAGTGAGAAGAATGATATCCCGTTTGCATCTGTTTAGGAAACTCCAGCTTGGATTGCTGTCGCGTCGTCTTCAGTGGTATTCACAAACAAGAACTGCGAAAAAGCCTAATTGAAGGCTGCAAAGCGGGATACCACTTCTTTCGGACGGGTTTGCAGCTTTCTGTGCCAGGCTGTGTGTGATAGCTTGGCTAATTGTTTCAGCCGTCTATGTTCGTCTGTGCCCATTGTCTCAGCCTGCAAAAGCCTGGAACTGTGTATATTCCGGCAGCGTACGGAAGGGGGAGCGATGGACAGACGAAATTTCTTTAGGGGAATTCATGCGTGACACGTCTGGTATTTTGAGGGAGTGTTAATGATTCTTTTTTTATTTTCAATGGAATCCCCTTTAATCCCTATAAATAAGCCCAGCAACAGTTCTACAAACCCACACCAGAAGAACAGGGAGTGGAAAGAGCGGCATTGATATCCACATCGTAACACGTTTGATTGCACCTCGTTTTGGAATCTTAGCACATTAAAACTTCTCGTAATGGCATTAATTAAATTTATTTCGATCCTTTTGATCGCGCAGAGAGGTAAGTAGAATTATTCGTCGATATGCGAACGTACATTGGGCACATTTACGTGCAGTAATGGAGAAACAGAATAAAAGACTGAAAAATGCTTATTTTCTACACTATTATAAGCTAATAATTCTGCTACGCCTGACAAAAGCGGGTGTATATTTAGCAAGTATGCATATGCTATGCACTTAAATGTGATTTAACCCTAGTGTGCTTTATACTATATTTTAATAAAATAATTTAATGGGAATACTACGCAGGATTTAATGTTAATATTGTATTCATACGTTTGCTTGTTTTCTGAACAGGATTTTCGTTTAATATTAAACTGCAACCTTCTAATCCATTGGCAATTGTGGGCTCCGACCTGGTTCTAAACTGCAGTGCGAACTGTCTCGGAGCCCAGTTCACCTGGGGTTCGCTGGAAGACAAACCTCTGTACGCGAAGATTCAGAATAGCGACTCTCAGTCCCTGGCGATACTGTCTCCGGTGAAGACAGAGCATGAAAACACAATCGTGTGCAAAGTAAAGTGCGGGAGTAAGAGCAAACAACAGTCGACAAAAGTCAATGTATATTGTAAGTGCTTAATGCTTCTTTCGTTGTACGCTGTTCCCAATTCAAGTATTGATACGTGATAATTTAGCTTTAAACCGTTAACTTGTCTTTTTGTGTAAATGTAAGCAGATTTCCTTTAAAATCGGCTTCAATCCCTTTGCACAGGTCAAAACACGTAAGAGTACATTTAACGGTAGCCTTTATACTGCTTGACATCTATGACCGAGTGTCATTTTTTTCTGTTATTTCAGATCAGACGCTATATTTATGTGAAATATTTAAATTATTTTTCGTGTTTCAGTAGGTTGTCACTGATATATTCCCATGTCTCTCTGATCAGGCACTAATCGATTTTCATCCTCCCATTACCCACAAGTGACAAATTGCGATAAATAGGTAGCCTAGGATAGAAGAGTCTACTATACAAATTGATTTTATATTTATACTGAATTATATTTTTCCAGCTTTTCCTAGCAGCCCAAGTATTTCAGGGAATGGACATTTACTGGAAAACCAATCAACTACGCTCACCTGTCAGGTCCCTGATGTCTACCCAGCCGAGAAAATGGAAATTCAGTGGCTATTTGGGGAAAACGTTATTAGTACAGATTATGGAATCCATAGTCCAGCTACCCATACTGTCACCTTGATTCACACCTTCAAGCCAACAGCTGGAGACGATGGGAAACAGGTGACATGCAGAGCCCATCTGGAAGTAGAGGGACTACCAGAAGATCAGGCTACCAAGGAAACAGTCGCCACGTTACAGTTGCAGAGTAAGTCACATTCTAAAGACCGACCTGTAGTTCTCCATGCTGCAACACCATTTATGGCTATACAACAGCAAAACAGACAACTCTAAAGAAAGGAGGCTGCTGTCCACTTGAAACCAGCTCTTCAAAGGCAGTTTCTATTAGGCCTTTCATATTAGACATTAAGAATTAAGAATCAAGGGCTACAGCATTCAATTTATTTTTATAAAGCGCCTTTCACAACAAGGTTGCCCCAAGGCGCTTAATAAAACAAGTGACCATACTATATATGTTGTGAATACAGAACAGAAAAGACCAGAAGAAAACAGATGAGAAGAACCAAAAACTCCTGAGTAAGGAGAAAACAAAACTCTATGGGTTCAAGGTCAACTGGCTGCCCAACCCCTGTGGGCATGCTAACATTATACAATTTTTAAAAAAAGGAAAAATGAATAAAGGAATAAAAGAAATGAAGAGTGTATCAGAAGACAGAGGGGATCTGTATCGTGCATAGTGCATTTGTAAAGGTCTAACACTACCAAATACACTTTCCAGTATTCTCCATCACTATGTCGCACACAATAAAGCATCAAATTAAGACTGCATTTTTTGCTGTTATTTTCACAGGAGCGCCAAAGATTATTCGGGTTTTAAGCACTCCTGATTCCACTGTGAGAGAAGGGCAGAATCTGACGCTTCTGTGTGAAGCCCAGAGTGATCTCCCGGCCAACCTGAGGTGGAGGAAGCTGGGGCCGGGCGGCCAGGGACCACTATCGGACAGCGGGACTCTCTCTATTGAGCAGGCGCAGGGTATCCACAGTGGAGAGTACGAATGCCAGGCGAGCAATGCTGTGGGAACAGACACCAGAACAATTACCATCACAGTCCAGGGTGAGAAGAACAGTCTAGTGTCTTTACAAAGCCTGAAAACTGTTGTGTTTTCATCCTAAATATGTTAAACAGTTAAGCCTAATGTATTTTTAAGATCTGACCAAGCTCAGAAAAGAGACATATGAAAGTGTGATTAGGGAAATGAAGATACATTAGCTGGACGTTTTCACTGGTGCAGCTAGTAGCACTTTTTAATGTTTCTTTCGCTGCTGTTAGAAACCATTTATGTTGGAAATGACTTCAATGCCCACAAAAGTATTAGATACTTAAAGCCATGATTTCTCTTTAGATATGTCTTCACTGGGGGAGAGTTCCTGCTGTAGTTTTAAGTTCCAGAGCAACAGATTCAGTAGTTTTCCCCTCTCTAAATTATCACTGTTGGTATTTAATTACTTAAAATGCTTTAACGAAGCATGAATCAGTCAGTGTCAGATCTCTGGTTTCTATTTAATTATAGCATTCAGTTTTAACAAAGTTAAAATTAAGCTTAACATTTTCACCAATGTGGTTATTATGCAGTCATAAATGTAGTTTCAATCCCATAAATTAAAGTAGTTAGCTCTTCATAATGTATCTGTAATCTAATTCTGTTTTCAGTGAAGGGAAAAAACACATGGATTGCAATTCAGTTGTTATTAGTTTTTGGATGAGCACTGGGATTGACGTACAGTACATTCACAGCACACAAAGTTTTACTGTTTCATACTTATTAACTGGTGATGTTAATCAAGTGGGGATCTTTCCTTTTTGGGGGCTGTCTCTGTGTTGTCATTTCTTAATGCTGTATCTTTCACAAAGCGGGCTGGGCTTTGTGTCAGATTTGTTTATGTGGTTGGGGAAGAAACACACAGCCTGGCAACACTGAGGGGTTCAGTGAAAGAGCTTTTGCCAACACACATGGCCAGAAGCCTTGGTTTGAGTGTTTCTCTGAATGAACGGTTTTGAAGTGGTTCCTGAGAGCTGGCAGTTGTTTGTCTTTGAGCCACACTGCCACTTTCACACACCCTCCTCGTGACTACAACCTTATCCTTTTCAGAGCCCAGAGTTCCCATGCCCTGTGCTTTTTGTTAAGCTTAAACACCCACCTTGGTTCATCATATTTTTGACCTGTGTGGTTTCTGAAGTGTCAGGGTTTGGCTTTGGTTTATTAGCGCATTGCTTTGGTGATTAAAAGTGCTGATGAAAAGCCCAATGCTTGGTTTGCAGTGCCCCCTAAGAACACATCCATCACGGTGGACCCATCTGGGGAGCTGAAGGAAGGGGACAGAGTGACCATCACCTGCTCTACACACAGCACCTCAGCAGCGCGGCTCTTTCTGCGCAAAGTGACCCAGAATGAGCAGCAGCTCCTGGAGTCCAGCGATGGCTCTTTTACCCTGAGCTCAGCACGACTGGAAGACACTGGCCTGTATGAGTGTGAAGCTGTGAACGAGTTTGGAAGCGAGAAAGCCAGCGTTAATGTGTCTGTTGAAGGTGAGTACCACAGCATTTTTTTTTTATTGTAGCTACTACTACTTCTATTACAGCTGTTTTCAGTACTATTAATGGTATGCAATACTTCTTTATACCTGAGAGGTAATGAATGGACAGCAAAGAGATAATATTTTCCTCTCATTGACTTAATAGACAGTATGTACCTTCTCCAAAATAAGCTGCAGATTGGGTTTTCAGGTTAAATGCGTCGGCCTCAGCCTGTTTGTTGGACTATTCAAATCTGCTGGCTCTCAGTCTGAGACTGGGTATCTGAAACACACAGCACCATCTGAGGAAGGAGGAGCTTAAAATATTAAGTGAAGGGTCTCTGCTTTTCTATCGGATAGCTTCAGTATTGTGTGTCAACATCAGACAGTCTTCCGATAAGTGGACTAGTGTCATTCATTCACTTTTTTTACGGGTCACATCGACCTTGTTTTGATGCAAAACGTAAAGTAGGAGCCTCAGGTCATTCTACTAAGAGTTAAAGGGGGAGGTGACAGAGGCAACACGGACCAGTAAAAAAGGGGGAATTTCCCTCTGTAACGAACAGAACATCCCCCCAGGGAGCTGGTGACATTTTTGCTCAGAAATTCCGTCCCCTGGCTCACGTTAAAAAGGCAGAGCGGTGGCTTAAGGGCATAGTGGTTTACTAAGGCTGAACAACACCGAGTAAACACTTCTTTTGGGTTTCATACAAAACTAAGGCATCTTGAGTACTGCAATGGCATCAAAGTTTTTCTTCGCTCTGAGCTTGTGGTTTATGGTTTGGGCTGGAGGTAAGAGAGAGGCGGGGGCTCACAATGGGTCCTGCATTCCTTTGAGAATTTTGATATGATAGATGTGTTTAATGACTATTATTAGCTCAGCTGCCAGCGACTATAATACTACAATCACACAGCTGAGCGCAGCCTTGGGTTAGTGAAAGGAAATTAATCTTTTTAGCCTTAAGTGACTTAAAGATGAACTATCTCTGCTACACTAAACTCCTCATTTTTAGATGTATGCCAGTAACCGATATCCACAATGTCAAAGAAGAATAGCAACCACGCCTATGGCCACAAGGAGAAAATATGATTGTTAACCTTTAAAACTGAACAATGTTAGTTCTTTCTGTTTTCAGGTGGCATTTTGTAGCTTTTAACCATGCATTACATTCAAGGCGCAAAGTTATTTTGTGCTATTAACTTGTGTATGTTCTTTCCTGAAACGCTGCACTGTAATTAGAGACTTGAGAGATTTGAAGGGGTACTGACTACATCTGGTCAAACCGTGACATCTTCATCTGTCCTCTCACCAGCACATCCCCTGGAGGTGCAGCTGAGCCCCCCAGAGGGAGACCTCATAGTGGAGAGGGGATCCTCCCTGGTCCTGACCTGCCAGGCGCAGGGCTGCCCTTCTCCAGACTTCACATGGAAACACGTGATAGACAAGCCTATGGACGGACAGATTGAGATTAAGGACCACCAGTCCAATCTCTTCCTTGACACCAAGGCAATAGAGGATGAAGTGACCTACAGCTGCAAGGTGCAATGCGGGTCAGCCTGGAAGACCAGGTCCATTCACATAAAGATCTACTGTAAGTGTTTTTTAATATCCATTTTTTTAACCTGATAGGAGACTCAAGAGGAAATATTCATTTGAAATGACCACCAACAGAGCAGAGAAATCACTGAAGTGAAGGATCTGGCCAACAGTTGTACAAACCCTTGACCTCCTAGTCTGTAGTTCAGGGCCCTCCCCACTACACCAAACTGGTGCCCAAAGGAACACTCTGTCACAAATGATGTGCTTAAACATCATGAGTTTTTCCTCTTGTTAGTGATCAGGTGGTTAGCCATACAGCTGAGTGTAAGCTTATTTTCTCCAAAGGGACATTTGTTTTTCTCCAGGCAGACTTTTTAGGATATTGCTCTGTGTATCATACACAGGAGGATTTTGATATATAATAAACTCTCTATCTGAAATGAATTAATTGGATTTAATCTAAAATTAAAGTGATGATTATTGTTATTGCTCTTGCCATTAATGCAGAACACATTAGCATTTCACAAATGGCTAAAGCTCCCCCACAGCACTGCATACCAAACTTTGGTTTACGCTTAAAGGTTCTGGATCTGGAAATAAATGCAACACTTACAAATAATGAAAGAAATATGCGTTGCTGGTTCTGTAATGTCCAGTACCACATTTTAATCAAGAAAATGTCAAGACATTCTGTGATTTGGCCGGACAGCTTCATACTATATGGAGACAGGATATCTTTGCCACAGCAGGCTCTGGAGTCTAGTCTGATGACAGCTTGTCTATGAATGCTCTTGCTGACTTCATCTCTGAGGGTTTATGGTGTTTATCTCTTTGCAGCTCTTCCTAGCAACCCCGTCATTGAAGGCAACAGGCCCTTTCAGGAAGGAGAAGAAGTCACTCTTACCTGCACTGTGCATGATGCTTTCCCAGCAAACATTCTGCAGCTTCAATGGCTGGAAGGCAAGGAGGTGCTTTCTTCAGAGGACCGGTACTATGGCACTGACACTGAGATCTTTACCTCCAAGTACACATTTGTTGTTCGTCCAGAACACAATGGAAAGCAAATATTCTGCAAGGCATACTTGAACTTGGAAGGCATCCCCAACCACCAGAAGACAAAGTCTGCTCTGATATCTCTAGTTGTGCAGGGTGAGTGACCAGTATTCACTGAAATTGGACTGATGTCCAGAAACACAGCATTCTGCCAATCCAAGAGACCCATCCCTGAGGGCTTTGCCATAACTTAGGTTTAGATTTACTCCAGGAAATATCAATGCAGCACCACAAGCCGAGCATCAGAATTGCTCAGGCCCCTGCCTGGCTACTAAGTCAATCTGAAATTCAGCAACTGGCAGGAGGTAGCTTTAAACTTTTGATGTTTGAAATATTACTTTATTAAACTTTGCTTTATGAATCAGCTGAGTAATTTTTGTTAACTAGCTGATATTATTTGTCTTGTCTGAATTTCTTTGTAGAATATGATTATTATTAATGATGATAGTGGTAGTTACAGTAGCTGTAACCCCACAGCTGTGGCCAGGCTGCACAGCAATAATTGTTGTGGGTTCTTTTTTACAGTGCCCCCTAAGAACACATCCATCATGGTGGACCCATCTGGAGAGCTGAAGGAAGGGGACAGAGTGACCATCACCTGCTCTACACACAGCACCTCAGCAGCGCGGCTCTTTCTGCGCAAAGAGACCCAGAATGAGCAGCAGCTCCTGGAGTCCAGCGATGGCTCTTTTACCCTGAGCTCAGCACGACTGGAAGACACTGGCCTGTATGAGTGTGAAG